AGGAGTTCAGACCACAAACCTGCGAGTAGATCTTAGAGCTGAAATCAGATCCCACAGCCAAACAACCAGAACCAGCCTCCCTAATCTTAAATCAGCTGTCAGTAAGAGGGCTCTCAGGATTCTGGGTGAGGTTTTGTACGATAGAAGTCCAAGACCACTACTAGTTCCGAGGCGCTCGTCCTACCAACATCCTGACGCAAAAGCGGGTATCCAGAAGTCGGAGTTATGGGCAGGCAGCTGTTAGGCATTTCTGTTAGTATCGGCTTCACAAGGAAGTCTTGAATGCCACCGTTCAGTATGGCTTGTCAAAATCTCCTTGATCTATGAGTCTATGAGGCATACCCGGGGATGCCTCAGAAAAATCTGGCTTTTCGGAAGCACTTCGGGAATTTCAGTTATATAATGTAGCTGAGCTCCAAAAACCCTTAAAGCCCTGCTTCCATCCAGGTCTGTAGCGATAGCCAGTTAGCCTTCAGAGCGCCCTCGTGAAATAGCAAACGTGCTTTCCAGAACCCTTAAAACCCTTCCCCACGTGAAGCTTGTGGCAAGCAGCGGCCGTACGCACGCACACGTGGGAGGAGCCCTTGTAGCAGCCGTAGTCAGGATTGAACTGCCAGACCTGGCTGCAGGGAATTACTACAGGGGCCTTAATAATTATTAAGGCTGAAAGGAGGTGTGTAAGAGTTTCAAGCGACTCTCGCAACTCGGAGACTCAGGCAGCCGTTTAGGCCCTGCATCAAACCGTTCGTAAAAAGGATATACTGCTAATCCGACTGCGCTTCAAGCAGAGTGTGCGCATAGAGGGCCCCACCTCGCATGCCTGATCGGCACAGCCTTGGCTGATCTGTTGGAGGACCCACCTCCTACCTACTGGTACATTCGTGGCTGTTTCGTCTACATACGTTTGCAGGCGGCACTTCGTAAGGGCTCTGCGCTTATCGTGCGCTCGGGCCTGAGTTTGAGACAGGGCTGATGTGAAATCTTGCCCGGCCCATGCTATACCGTGTGCATCTACGGCCTACCGAAATTCTGAAGCGAACACCTCGAACCAACACTTTCAGACGGCACCTTCATGAATAGAACTGGCTTTTGGGGTAGACTCTATACCATAACTATATAGGAGACCAGAACAATGAGATGCTGCGAAGCTTCTATTTGAAAATCAATCGAAGCCTGTATTTAAAGATTTCGAAATGTATACACACATTCTGGATGCACGCCTCTGCATCAGCTTTGGAAGTGCACCCTTGGGGTACGAAACATATCGCACACTCCTAATTCATCAACACGCTTGTCACAAGACTGCAAACCCTGACGGGAGGGTAACACATATCAGAAACTTAAACTCAAACCTTGAGCTCTGAAGACTTGCAATTAGAACTAGCTTCCCTGTACTGTTGCTGTAGATGAAGAACGACGGTAAGCTCTGAATCGAAGCTCCTGAGATGCTCCAATCGCAGAACCCCTTTAGACAACGCATTCTGAAACCACCAGATCCTACAATCAAGCCCGATCTTCAACTCAGGAACAGGTGTCGCGGCAGCGCCCCACATCGGTGGAGGTGGTATCCTGAAGAGCATCAGGCTCTCCAGCGTTCGATTTGAGTGTTAGGGTATAATTCTCAGACGAATGCACACACATCAAAGATGTGCGGCCCGTGAATAAACAACTTACGGACAGCACACAGCTTTCTCCTGCTAATGATTTATCTGGCCACCTGGCAGCAGCACAATGCCTGGATTCTTGTTGCTGTGTTCCTGCAACCTCCACCTAGTGGCCGCTAGAAAAAGCCATGTCGGCTGGAGGGTGTGCCCCAGTCTTCCATTGCTTACGACAGATGCACATCCAGGAGAGGCACCAGCCAACATGGCCCAACGTGGCCTTGTTATGTCCACCATGCTCTGTTTCCAGACAATCATTCTCGAACTGCGCCCCTCACCTCAAAATCTCCCCAAGGTTAGCTGCTCGAATGTCAACATTCACCGGGTCATACTCTCGCGCAATGAGGTCACTGCATGTATGTGTGGCCTTGCATGCCGGGCCAACTTGACTTGGTTGAATACCCGATGCCGGAACCCGGAACGTCCCAGAACTGCTACTGTTGAAAGTCAAGCAACATGCTCCAGGCCGTAACACTGCCTTGGCTGCCACAAGATCTTGAAGTCAATTCGGCCCGTCAATACGAAAACCCAGCAGAAGTCGGTTCAGGCAGTGTTGAAATTTATCTCAACAGGCCGCAGGACACCGCAAGACCATCAAAATCCCCAAATCCAAACCCAGGATCTCTTGCAAACCTGTGCTGTGCATGGCAAAATGGAGCTCATGAGCCTTGCAACTTTCTCAATGCTGCTCAAGGCTTCGGGTTAGGGTTGAAAGTTAGGAGGTATGGGTCTCAGGCTAAACCCTAAGCAATCTCTGAAGCCTAGCTCGAGGCTATTGGTCGAGGGACTTGCCGTCCAAGGTCTCCACCACAGCACCTTGGCTTCTGCCAGAACCCAGTACATGATATCATCCGTATACTGCTTAAAGACTGACGCGGCCTTTAAACTTACAAATCTGAAAGTTTATGCAGTCAACACATTGCAGGAAGTAAGAGTGCTTCCACAGCGGCTTTAGGACTCATGAGAGTTTTGGGGCATACCATAGTTATATGAGGACATATACAGACTGTGCGCGAATACTACTTCTAATTCTTCCGACCCTAAATGGGACTGAAAAGACCTCGAGCCCCGAACTCACGATATGTCAGAGGAAGGTTCATACAGGGGCCTTGATAATTGCCTGTACTTTTTTGGGGATTCCTTATTCTAATTGTAGTGGAATATTATGGTGCAGCCTGTGGCTACGACGATGAAAACTTGCCCGAGTCCTGCGATATCTTCTCAAAGTCGGTGAGCGATTTGGCTTGGACCCCTACCAACTACTCTCTCTCTCTCTCTCTCTCTCTCTCTCTCTCTCTCTCTCTCTCTCTCATTCGAAACGTCAAGCCCGGCTGTAGGACACAGATGGTCCCACGTGACACACCCCCACCAACTACTGCTCAACATAACCCCTATGGGTCTATGCCGTAACAACAAACAAGAAGAATGACTCCAAAGCCCCATTTGACTGGGAACTAGTGATTTCAAACGACAATCGAGGCGAGACCTGTTCGGTGGTCACGACTGTGGATACAAGACAAGCCCCCAACAAACGTTTAAAACCCGCCAAAGAGTACCAGTGATCCCTGATGACACGATGCCCTGGTTGGGGATGTCTGCAAGGTCCACCGGACCGGACTACTTTGGTCACAGTTTTTTGTTGTCTCGTTTGGTCACAGTTCGGGTTTCGACTCGAACACTCCCTCGCACAGGCACGGGCTTAGGGACTTCGGGTTTACGCTCTCGCAACTCGGACTTGCCAGGCCAGGTTCTTGGTGCGGGGTCGGCTTGAAACACTGGAATCAGACGGGTTTAGGGTTTAAGGTTTCGGCACTCACACTCGGGTTTAAGTTTCAGGGGTGAGGAACTTATCTCTCTCAACAGTGCAAAGGCATGAAATACAACCTGGCACTCTAACTCCACAAGCTCAGCTTCTTCGGACGCAGAGAGTTCTAAACTATAGGTGACAGTAATTTGTTGAACAACATGGGAGGACATCCTCTTCAGCCCTTGCCGCCCTCCTCGCCCCCTGAACAAGAAACTGCGACGGTCTGTAGACTTGCAGTGGCCCAAGGAGCAGGATGCGGCAGCAGTGACAGCCACGGTGGCGGCAACGAGAGCGGCACGCATCAGGATGATGTAGAGTTTCGGACAAGTTTGAGGATCAGCCGGCTTTGTAAGTTGTAAGTATCAAGTTTATGGCCGTAACACCCCTGACTTGGGATAGATTGAAACAAAAACAGCACACCTTGCGAACCAATTTCTGGTCCTCCAAGTATGCGAGTGAGGCTATTCACCCCGAATCCTGCGCTCACTTAAAATCATCGCCCATTCACAGAACTACTGAAATCCCTGTAGCGCCCATCCTGTACCCCTGCTAGAACCAATAGGGAACCCTCATAAACCTTTCTCTTCCTTCAAAATCTGTGGCTGCTGGGCTTTGGAGCGACCTTAGGCCCGAATCCCGTGAATTTCGATGGTCACATTGATCGGATGATGACCGTCTTCATGAAAGTAGCGCTAAGGGCTCTGAGCTTGACCGTTCAGCCCAGAATTCCAACAAAATTCGCTAATGTAATATCAGTCCTGCCACTTGCCCAAGTGCCATTTGCTAGGTAGGTGTGGTCTGCAGGCTTTACGGTTGATACACGACGATGTCCGGACTGCGAAGGAATAGGCAGTTTGGGGGTCACAGCCTTGAGTGTCGGATGGGGCGTGACGGATTGAGATTCAGGATCCTCCGTGGATGCATGGGTCATGTGTGTTCAATGTTTGTAAACCTCGTGAAGCTCTGGCTTCAGCAGGCTCGCTGCAAAAAATGGCCTGTGCAGGTTGCAGCCAATGACAAGAATCAGGACCTCACCAAAGAAAACACAGCCACAAGCTAGCTCTCAAATCAAGCATGGCCCAAACCTGGCACAGTATGCCGTGACCCTCGAGCACATCAACCTCTCGACCTTAAGCCTCTGAACCTTCGATGCCTACACCGCCGGGATGTAACCTCACAACAACTGATGAAACCCGAGCTCAAGACTCAAACCCGCAGCGTCTTGCAGAAGTCCAACTGCTTCGCTACGGTTTGGTTGATAGTGCAGTGCCAGGCATGGCTCCGCTCGAAACTCAACAATAAACAGGTTGGTTAGCGGAGTGTAGGAATAGTCTTGGCCTGCAGTCGAGGATCTTCTGTTACCGTTCAAGCGCGTGCTCTCCACAGCATGCGAAGTTAATAGCTATGCGGCAGGACGTTCAAGCCGAAGTTGCAAGAGCTGGTGAAGAAACAACTTGTCTGCGCTTGGAGCCTTTAATCCTAAGCCACGAAATGTCAAGCTCTCGATCCTCAACTCGCCCCACCCCCCCCAGTCACATTCCACCGGAAACGAAACCCACTGGGCCTTTGAAGGCCACCTCGGTCTGGGAGGCCGCTTTGAGGCGCTCGCAGAGGTCGAAGCCGAGAGACCGGTTCGCAGCCTGTGCGGACATGTGGACGGAATGCTTGGACTAGAGCTGGGACTCAACGCAGGGCCGTTATAAGTTGTAATGCGTAAGATTAGTCATGCTGGATTCTATAAAACTGCTTTGGGTGGGAGATTTCCGGACTTGGCCTCGATGCCACTCCTAAATCATGAAGCAAGACGACCAGGTGTATGCTAGACTCAAGACTACCAGTGACCACAGACACACGAAACCGCATGCAATATGGAAGGTGTTATGCGTGCGGAACCCTGAAGTCCTCAAGCATAGACTTTTGGTGCGCCCTGTTTTTTCTCGAAACTCGCTGTGAGGCTCAGTCCGGGCGACCTCGAGGGTGTCGAACCACGAGCTGAGGAAGAACCTCGGACTTAAACGATGAGGAACGTGCTCTCCAAAGAAAACTTGACCTCTAAATGATGAGCCCTTGCCGTGCTTCACCGAAAGTCATGTTCAAAGCATAGACATGCATGGGAGGCCTCTGAAATACGGCCGTTCCGCATCTCTCCGAACAACAGACACGGCACGATCACAAGGGCTCGGCTGAAAGGCTTCATGCCGTTCACACTTCGGGTTCAATAGTCTGGTCTAGCCTCTGCTGACGATGTCGATATACATAGAGACCTTCAAACAAACACCAAGCACGAGAACCGGCAAGGCAAATTTCCCAAACCAGCAGCCACACAAATCCTCACCCAAACATGAGGGGAATACTCCTCCTGATATACCCCTGCGACTCTGCCAGGACGAACACTCGACCACAATCACTTGTGGACACCTCAAAAACCACCACGAACCCGAAGATCCTGTAGTGCCAGGGAACCTTGTGGCCTCGAAAGCCGTCTGGATCGCCTCTGAGGACGTCTCCTTGCGCAGGGTTTTGCGTAGAGCGCATGCTTTTTGAGTTCGTTGTTAGGGGTTGACGGCAGTTGGAGTTTGGAGCTTGGAGCTCAAGAGTGTCGGAACTCACACTCACGCGACTGCCCGGGTGAGGCGAATTCGTTATCCTCCGTTAGCCTGGTCGAGACCCTGAACCGCTGACTCACACACACATGTGAAGGCCGGCACTGAGACAGAGAAAAAGTTGCATCGAGGTCCTTTGGCACCTTCTCACTTCCTTCCTCTTCTTGATAGTAGATCACACCTGAGCCGTGGCACAATGCCACGCGTCACAAATTTGAAGCCGCAGAGGCAGAACATTTAAAACACATGCTGGGGACACATTCAGCGTTGCAAGGAACATTTACATTCGACGCAACCTGCAGACGAAAACGCATGAAGTCGCATGGACGCTTTTGTCTCAGTCCGAGCCACCATCTTCCCCCAAGCTGAATCCCTTGATGCCGCTGTCTTCGAACATGTTCCTCTCGGTTAATTAAGTACCAGGGATGGCGTCAGCAAAGACAGCGTCGCAGGAAGGTCTTCGACTCTTCAGTTGCACAAACAGCACCAGGGCAAAGAAACAAACTCAACACTTTCAACGCCCCTCTTTTAAAGAATTGAACCATTCATTGCCGAGGCATTGCACTCACCAAGTACGCGGGCCCTTGTCTAAAAGGCGCTGTTCCGGTTCGCTTGAATCGCTGGCACTTGCAGAAAACGGTCCTTTCCATCTTCGCCCATCGGTCGCGATCCTTCTCCACCCACAGGAGGTAGGAGTGATAGGCGGAGAGAAACTCCTTCATGTACCTGCGCCGCGCCACGGATTCACGCTGCTATCCATGAGCAGTAGCGAGAAGATATAATCAAGGTCCGGATGAACATCCCAGTTAGGGAGGGGCCCAAACACCGCAAATACCCTTGTACATAGTCAACCTGATAGGTGAGGTCATCTACCCTTTTTCCGTTTTTGCTGAAGGCTTGCATGCAAGGACGCCTGGTAGTTTGCCGCTCTTCCGCCAGTTAGGACTGTGCTAAGCTCTAAACCCTGCCTCCTTCATCCACCGTCCCGTGTCTGTTCTGCCTGTTTTTTGCTGCAGCCAATGAGGGGAGGATGAAGCTTACTCCCACAAC